TCTCCCACCTTGCCCCAGCAATGTCCTTCTGATACATTTCTGGATTTTCTCCTCTGGCCTCCTGCACCCCTGGCTCAGGGTAATAATACTAATTGCTACCACTTAGGATGCATTTGTGAATGTATGTGCCAGGCACTAGGCAAAAGCTTTTCCACACTCGTGAATTCCTTACACCAGTTCTAGGAAGTAGGCATTCTTGTGCCCATTTCACAGATGAATAAAGGGGGTATTCACATAGGATAATAAGTTTGCCAAGGTCACACAGCCAGGAGATGGACTGAAGCTTCTCCACCCTTGAAATGTGTTCTCTTGTTATCCGGAGACGGTACAGCCGTCCAGCCCGGGTTGGTTTTTGCCCCATCCTACCTCTCGGGATGAGAACCTGATGCCCTTCTTTCAAGAGTACTCAGCTTTGACCTCTTTGCTGGCTCTGCTTCAAGTTCGTTGAAGCAGGGGTTCTCAAAGTGTGGTCCCTGGGCCAGCACCCTCAGCAGGCCCTGAGAACTTGTCAGAAATGCATACTGTCAACGCCACCCCAGACTTACCGAATCTGAAACTCTGGGGCGAGGCCCAGACATCTGTTCGAACAAGGCCTCCAGGTGATTGTGATGCGCACCCATCTGAGAGCTACTGGAGAAGGCGGGAGAGGCCACAGCCTTTTCCGTCCCCTCCCAGTGGCTTCCGGGACAGCAGCTGGAGAAAGGGAGAATTTTCAGCCAAGTAGTTTTTATTTGGTTGTTATTGTTTTCCTATCACATTTGTCAGAAATGACTCAGGTCCGGCTTGAGAGAGGGTGTGTGAATTCCTTAATTGTCACACGCTATTACTATTTTTTCACATTTGTGTTCAGCCTAAAAGACAGTGGAAATAAACGTAAAGAGATCCAAACTACCAAATTCAGCCTCTCAACACCTTGTCTGTCTAGGGAAGGGGTGTGACGATAATCCCATCTTTAGTCAACACACTCGAGCTTCTGTGTCAGGGGACACAGACACCTCACTAATAACTAGAATTCTGGGTTCCCAGGGTTGGGGTCCAAGGTCTGCTCCCACATGACCCAGGGCTACACCGTTCCAATTTCCTCACTGTACAGCCTTGAGCTGGAGTCAGGCTCTGCCATCTGCCAGCTGTGTGGTCTTGGGAAAATCACGTGGCCTCTCTGGGCCTCAGATTCCTCCATCCATGAAATGAGAGTAATAATTCTCACCTTGCAGGCTTGTGGTGAGGATGGAGGAAATGTATGTATGGAGGCAGCCTAGTGGTGCCACACACACGCTGTGTGACCTTGAGGAGTTTAGCGTCTCCTGCATGTGGCCTCCCCTCTACCACCAAGAGCACACACCGTGTAGGGTGGCTGTGAGGTTAGGGGTTACATCCATCTTACAACAAGGCCTCGTGATGGCAAGTACTCTGGCAATGTCAGCTATTATTGTCATTAAGCGCATAGTACCGTGCCCAGGGCCTAGAAGATGCGCAATCCATGGTGGCTACTGGTATTATTCATTTCCCTCCTCAACTTGAAGACAGCCCTGACCTTACTTCCAGCTTCTGCTTGCTTCAGAGTCTCCATCACACCGATGCTTCCTGGGAGTTTGCAGTTCATGCCCTTTCTGCCAGTTCATCTTGTGTCTGACTCTCATTTCCAGCCTCTCTTGGGTCTCCTGTTGTTTGCTCTTGGCCTGGTCTTTGCCTTCTTTGTTCTGGCTTCCTGCCCCGTTCCTGGGGCCAATTTCATAAGCATCAAATTTGCCGGACCAGTGCTGTTAAGTCCCAGCTCTGTTACTCACTAGCCATGTGACCTTAGATAAAGGATTTAACCCCAATTTTCTCATCTGTAACATGGGACTAATAGGGGCACCTGGGTGGCTCAGTCAGTTAAGCGTCTGCCTTCGGCTCAGGTCATGATCCCAGGGTCCTGGGATCCAGTCCACTGGGCTCCCTGCTCAGCAGGGAGCCTGCTTCTCCCTCTCCTTCTGCCTCTCCCCTTACCCTTCCTCCCTGCCCGTGTTCTCTCTCTTGCTCTGCTCTCTCTCTCTTAAATAAATAAAATATTTTCTTAAAAAATATTTTATTTATTTATTTTTTCGGGAGAGAGAGAGAGAGAGGGAGAAAGAGAGAGCAAGAGAGGGAGCATGAGGGGAGGGGCAGAGGGAGAAGCAGACTCCCTGCTGAGCAAGGAGCCCCATGCGGGACTCGATGCCAGGATCCTGGGATCGTGACCCAAGCCAAAGGCAGACGCTCAACCAACTGAGCCACCCAGGCGTCCCGCTTTGTGAGTTTTGACCTTTTATTTTCCTCAGCCAAGCCTAAACTGAACCGACGTCCAATCTCGTGAAGCACTGGGAAGCCTGAATGAAATGATGAACCAGAAAGTATTTTGTAAACTCTCCAGTTCTCTACACATGTAAGGCATTTATATTTTTGCGGTGGTTGTGACTGTGATTATGATTGGTTTAGGAAGAATGGGTTGAAGTTGCCTGACACGATCCTGGCCAGAGATGAGAGGCTCTTTGTTCTGCTTCAGCAGTGTGTTTCTGAGGGCTGTACACGGGTAATGGTGGCACAGGAGACTGGCAGAAGAGGAGTCACTGGCCTCTGGTCTGGATGCCAGCAGGATGACTGCGTGACTTTTGCTGAGCTGGGGCCCAAACGCTCAGGCACTGGTTGGCAGGTAAGCATAAAGGCTGAATTGGGACGGATGGGTCTAAATCCGGGCTCCTCCCTTACTTGCTATGTAACCCTGGGCAGGTTACCGAACTTCTCTGAGTTTCAGATTCGTCATCTATAAAATGGGAACAATTATAGCCCCTATGACATAGGGTTGTCATGGAGATTCAGTGACATCACATACCCAGGAGGGAAAAAGATAAATCTGTATCCAGTCCAGGGTTACAGATTTTTCTGCTCTGACTACTAACCCTTGACAAATTACAAATGTACAGAGTAGATTCAGGCTTGTTCCTTCTTACCTTTTTTGATTGATTCAGTAAGAATACTGAATGGGCCCCCCTATGCATTTAACTATGTACCAGGTGATGAAAAAAGCTAGTGCGGTGGACTTAGACCATGGCACCCAAAGACAGCTAGCTCAAAGAATAATTTAAAAAAATAGAGCCAGTTTTTTTGAGGGCCCCCACTCTTCTCTTACTGTCATCTTTTTCTTGAGGGCTCCCTTTGAGGTTTCTGCCATAGCAATGTCGGTCTACCCCCTCCTAATCAGTAGATGTTTAGTCTCAGGAAGACCTCAGTCATAATTCATATTATGGTGCAAATGACTACAAATCTCGCAAAGCATGGACCTGCCAGGACCTGCAAATGACCCATCCTGTAAAGCAGACTGCCCCTGAAAGGGTGCTCCAATGCATAGAAAGCAACAAGTTTCCAGGCAGAAGGGCCTAGAGAATTCATTCAGTCTGAACCCTCTCAGTTCACAGCGGGGAAACCAAGCCAGGCAGAGGGAACCTTGGTCGAAGCAGGATGACCCAACCAAGGACACCCAGCGGTCATGTGGCCAGGCTGAGTGGGGAGCAGAAAATGGCTCTTCCATATTATCATGGTCTACACCATATATACGCTGAGCACCTTCCGATTAGGTTGCGCACAATGCCCTAGGGAGATAATGAGGCATGACAAGAAGTGCCTCTGGCTTCCAAGAAGCCTGCAGCCCGACAGAGAACATAAACACATATGTTAGACTAAAGAGCTCTTTGCCCCCACGGATTTGAAATGCTGCCCCCATTACCTATCAAATTCTCCAATATGCATGAGACTATTCTAGATTCTGTTCTGTTTTACTACTGTCTCTTCCTGCACAGCACCATGATGTTTTAAAGACCATAGCTTTATAACATATTTTGATATGTGGTCGAAGAAATTCTTTTTCTTTCTTTCTCTTTTCTTTCTTTCTTTCTTTCTTTCTTTCTTTCTTTCTTTCTTTCTTTCTTTCTTTCGTTCTCATGTACAATCACTGTTTCAGATGAACTTTTGGATTAGCTTTTGAGTAACACAGATACTGAATCTTCTTCAGCCAGGCACTGGGCACTCTGAGGAGTCAGGCACTCAGTTCCTGCCCTTGGGAGCTCACAAAAGAGCTGGGAAGTGTAACCAAACAAAAAGTGTAAAGCAACAACAGGAATCTCATGCTCTGGGTAACAAGAGCCAAATGAGTGAGGAGTCCACACAGATATAACCGCTGTGAGTTCCATTGTCCCTCCAGGCTAGGAAAGTCATGGGACGCTCAACAGGGAAGGTGACATTATACTGTACTTTGATAGGTGAGCAGGAGGAGTTTGTTAGGTGTAGAAGAGAAAAAATGCTTTGAGTTGAGGAAGTCAGAGAATGCACCTTGGAGGAGACATTTTATTTGCAGGTGAGTAGGAGTTTGCCCCATTCAGAAGGTGGGATGAAGGGAAAGACTGCCCTGAGCTGGGAAAGTCACATCTCTGAAGACATTTTAGCTGGGTTTTGAGTTGGAGGAATCAGAGAAGATGCTGGGAGAGGTAACTAAATAGGGATTTTATTAGAAAAGTAACACAAGGAGACGACATTTGACCTGGGCTTTGAGGGATGGAATGAGCAGATCACCAGAGTAGAGGAGAGAGGCACCCGGGAGAGGAGGTAGTCAGAGAAGATATCCCAGACCAAAAAGGAAACCTCCTGGCTTCCTGCCCGCTCGCTAAGATGCGAGATCCAGGACCTAAGCTTCCCAGCGTGTAGGCGCTCGGGATTCTGAGGCGGCGGCTCTGCAGTTCCCACTTCCCGGTGTGGGGTAGCGGTGGAGCCGGCCGGGCCGGGAGGATTGAAGCTTACTCAGGTTTGCCGAGCAGGGTGGCGGAGCTGAATGCTTTATGTCGGAATCGACCAATGGGGTGGCGGCACCCGGTTGCCAGGGCTACGGAGGGGGCCGAGCGGGGCGGGGCCTGGGCCCCAGGGGCGGGGCCGGGGCGGGGTTTATATAAGCAGGCGGCAGGCGGCAGGCGGGGCGTGGGGTCGGTGGCTGCTGGGCGGGCGGGGCGCAGGCCGCGGGGCCCGAGCCGGGGGGAGGGGGCGAGCGGAGGCGCCGAGGATCCAGTTCCCTCGCTGGGGAGACCTATGGGCCGAAGCCGTGTAAATGCGTTTTAAGGCGAGTGCGGGGAGTGGCTCGGGGAGCCTCCGGGGGCAGGCGTCCTCGGCTCCAGTGCTGACCTGCCCCCGGCCCCCTTGCCTCCTCTCAGCAGGGGCCTCGGCTCCGCAACTGCCACTCCTCCTTGGGGTGTTGCACAAGTTTCGAGGTCACCGGCGACCCCCCCTAGCAGCGCGCCTGGCTCTGGCCCCCGCGAAGGAGGACGGGGCTTGGTAAGGGGGTGTGGGGGGCGGGTCCTCGGCCCTGCACTCGGGAAGGCTCACCGGGGCAGAACCTCAGCCTTCGGTTCCCGCCCGGGAGCCCACGACCCCTACCCACCATGTGGCCCCATGCACGCTTAGAATCCTAGCACGTCAGGACCTGCTCCCCCCGCCCATTTACAAACGGTGAAACTGAGGCTCGGAGAGGGGACAGGGCGTACCCAAGGTCACGGAGCGGGGGCGGACTCGAACCTAAACTGCTCTGGGGCTGAGACTCCTTGGTGGGGCCACTCCCAGCCTCTTTAGTTGGGCGTGGCCAAGACTGAGGGTCCCCTGAAAACTTCCCCATCCGAGCTTCTTGGCTTTCCTGCTCCCTCTCGTTCTTTCCCTTTTTGCTAAAACCCGAATTTCATAACTGGAAAGGATCTCCAAAATAATCCATCCATTTTACAGATGGGGAAACTGAGGCTCGGAGAGGCAGTGACATCTTAGGCATGTTATGCCTTGTCCCAGTCAGGATTCCTGGTCGTCCCCACCCTTCCCAGGGCACCTAAACTCCCTAGGCTTGTGCTGGCGGCGGGGTGTGTCAGGACTGGGCGCCCCGGCTTGGGGAGGTCAGAGGGGCATCAGAGGGCAGCCCCCCAGCGGGCCCCCTCACTTTACACACCCCCTTCCCCCCGCAGTGTGTTGCATACTTTCTAAGGCGGCCCAGGCGGCGGCTCCATCCAGCCCATCTGCTCCTCCTCCTCGGCATGGCTGGCTACTTGAGCGAAACAGACTTTGTGATGGTGGAGGAGGGCTTCAGCACCCGAGACCTGTTGGAGGAGCTCACTCTGGGGGCCTCACAGGCCACCGCGGTGAGGGACTGGGAGTGGGGGTGGGTCTCTTGTTCCCCTTGCAGGCCCAGCTGCCTTCTCTGGAAGGACTCCTCTGGCCCTCATCTTCCTTCATATTTGGCGTTCAGTCCTTGCTTTTGGCCAGAGACAGGCTCATTTGACCCCCATTTCCTTGTTTTTGCCCCAAACTTTGTCCTTCCTGCCTGCCCTGCCCTGATGAACAGCACCACCACCATCTACCCAGCTCTCTAGGTCAGAAACCTGGGAGTCCAGCTTCCCCCTGTCATCAGGGCACCACCAAGCTCCTTACACCACCCGCCGGGGTGCTCTGCCCGGCCCTGGCTTTGTAGTTCAGACCTCATCTCTCTAGGGGCCCACTAACCTCCTCCCTGCCTCATCCCACCTGCTCCGACTCCATCACAGCCAGGCTCAAGCTCAGAATTGTCTGGCGGTCCCCCGCCGCCTGCAGGGTCAAGCCCGAGCTCTGCCTTCACAGCCGCTCCCTCTGCCTGGAACGCCCCTCTGCCGGCCTCTCTGGCCCTACCTATTTCTGTCATTCCTCATTACTCATCAGTGTCACTTTGTCCTAATCTCCCAGGCCGATTTTGTATTTCCTTTTCTCTGTGGCCTCCACTGCCTTGTGGAGGAACTCCCACGGAGCATTTATTGAACGGGACTGTCATTGCTCAAAGCGTTGGCTGTCCTTCAAGACCCAAGCCCCTTCAGGGCTGGAGCCCTGTCTGGTCAGCTCTGTCCTTTAGCATCATGTCAGACACCAAGTGGGCTTCAGTAAAAAAAAGTGTAGCGTAAAAGGGAAACAGTTCCAGCGAGGGTTGAAGTAATGCTGTCTCACCCAGAGCCTCGTACATGTTTTGCCCTCAGCAAATCTGTGATGACCGGTTGCTCACGGGCATGGGTCGCAGTGGCGGTGGGACTCGCGCAAGGCTTCAGCAAGCGCCTACATGTGGAAGGCCGTGGGCTGCAGGCCATAGCTTTGGCCTGCAAGGAGTCTATCTTTTTCAGGAGAAGATGAATGTATATAAAGTTCCGATACTTTGAAAGCATGTGCAAAATGCAGTGAGAGCATTAAAGGCAGAGTTAACTGCCTTATTGTTTTGGGGGAGGTGAAACTTGAAGGTAGACTGAGCATTTGCCAGACCTGAGTGGGGGCAAGGCGATTCTGTGCAAAGGGCATGGTGGCAGCAAGAGCTTGGAGGTGGGGAAACGCAGCAGTGTGGGGCTGGAGCTGGAGCTGCCGTGAGGGGAGGAGGGGCGGGAGCCAGATCACAGAACCCCGAATGCAGGCCTTCTGTGCAGGGAATGGTAGAGCCGGGTGGCTTGGCAGCCAGGGCCGGGCCTGGGGCAGGTTCGCTGGGAGGACGGTGGATGGCATGCACCAGGAGGGAGCTGAGCGGGGGTCTCACATTCACTCTTCTTGCGCAGGGTGATGTCGCTGCCTTCTTCGTGGCCGACCTGGGTGCTGTGGTGAGGAAGCACTTCTGCTTCCTGAAGTGCCTGCCTCGAGTCCGGCCCTTTTACACGGTCAAGTGCAACAGCAGCCCAGGTGTGCTGAAGGTCCTGGCCGAGCTGGGGCTGGGCTTCAGCTGTGCCAACAAGGTGAGCCCCTGCCCCCGGCTGACACACTGACCCTCGCAGCCTGCTAAGCACGCACGAGGCTGGGGTGCTGCTGGCGGGCCCTGGGGAAGCAGGGGTGACCTGCCATTGGCCCCTGCCCCCTGGGACAGGCCACCCACTTGGGAGGGGGTTTGAAGGGATGAGGGAGGGAGAAACAAGCATGGAAGTTCTAAATGGGAAGCCGGGAAGCCGTGTGTGTGTGTGTGTGTGTGTGTGTGTGTGTGTGTGTGTGTGTGTGTCTGGGTAGGTGGGTCACCTTTTTAATGGAGATTTTCAAGCTTCTTGGCATAGAGCTATACATGGCATTCTTCTAATTAAAACAAGACAAAACAAAACAAAAACACCTTCTTATCATTGTTTTTTTTTCTTTCATAGTCTTAGTAATGTGTGACAGTACATTTTCTCAACTAATCCTTTGAGAATTCTGTTGTGTTGCCAATTTTTCTGCCTTTGTAATGAGATTAATGCTGTTGACTTAGTTCCCTTCCTGCTCTCTCTAGATTTTGCTTATTTACTGTCGTTCTCTAGTCGTTGAACTCCAGTGTGAGGGTCAGTGTGTAACTAGGGCTGACAATACAGTGTTGAGTAAGACAGGCTCTGCTGTCTTGGAGTTGAATGCTTCACTCATCTATTTCCTTTCTGTTCTTAGTTGATGAAAGCCTTCAAGCTTACAAAGTTTCCTCAGAGTCCTGCTTTGGACATATTTATTCATTCAGCAAAACTTTTTTGAGCACCTACCAGGGGGCACGTTCTATTCCAGGTGGGGATTTAGCAAGTGAACAAACCAAAACAAGTCAAACAAAAAAGGCTCTTCTTTCAGGGAACTTGCTTTCTAAAAACCAAATAAGTTAAACAATGAAAATCTATATTATTTTAGATGGTCAATGGTAGGGAGAAAGTTAAAGTGGGGAAGGGAAGTAGGAAATGTTAGGAGGGAGGATTGTACTTTTTTTTCAACCTTTTTTTATTGTTATGTTAATCACCATATATTACATCATAAATTTTTGATGTAGTGGGAGGATTGTACTTTTATGTAGTTTGGCCAGGGAAGGCTTTGCTGAAATTTGAAGACAGACCCGAAGGAAGCAAAGGATCAAGCCAGGTGGATAACTAGGGGAAGAGCTTCCAGGCAGAGGGCACAGCAAGTGCAAAGGCCCTGAGGTGAGAACAAACCTGGTGGGCGTTGCTTTGTGATATTGTCATGACTGTTATTTTTTTAATGGTTAGTAATGATTGTTTTGAGAGAAACTCTTTTCAAATCCTGGTCAACAGTATGGTTGGGTGTTGTGAGGAGGATTCTAGAAAGGGACCCTGGAGGAGAAAGGAGGAGAGCTAGCCTGGGCAGGATGACAGGGGTGGAGGGATTCTGGGTGGGAAAGAGGTGTGCACCATGGTGGGATGGGGAGAACAAGCAGGTTAACCTTTCTCAAAGACGATGTTAACGCTCGTAGTGATAGGTGGGTCTCTCCCCATTGTCACTGCAAAACCCCCTTGCATTAGCTCTTGCTTTGCACACCTAGCTTCATGTGTGTCTCACATCAAGCCCATGAGGTGCGTAGGGAGAGAGATCGCCATTTTACAGTAGAGGAGACTGGAGGCCAACCGCACAGCTTGGCTGGTAGCAGAGCCTGGACGTCCCCCTGCGGGTATGCCGGGGCTCAGCTCTGGGAGAGGAGGGAGGGGCTCCTTTTCCAGCCTTCTTGGTCTAGGGGTAAAGAACAGGACCCAAACCCCTTGACTAGTCCTGTGTGTCTGGAAACCCAGAGGTGGGCCCCTGTGCTTGGCCGTCTGGCCTCAGGGCTGGCCTCCAAAGAGCAGAGTTAGAGGGTGTTAAGGGCTTAGACCTTGAAGTCCGCAGGGATGTTAAAAGCACGTACTGCTGCTGAGTGCTTCTGTCCTGCCAGGCACTTTGCCGAGTGTTTTCTGTATATGATCTCATTTTATTCTCGCAACAACCCTGTGAGGTAATTATTACTACCCTGATTCTGACAACAGCCCAGTGAGGAAGCATTTAACAGACTGGCAAGGGGGCGCAGGGGGAGAGCGACTCGCTGGGAAGTGGCCACGTGAGTAGGGCCAGCGGCAGTGGGGTCTCCAGCATCTTTCCCTTGGGGAGGGCAGGGCAGAGCTGGGCTCCAGCTGGTGACGATTGCCTTGCTAACCCCCAGGGCCGAGAGAGGCCACGCCCCCTCCCTGCAGGTGGGAGGAGCCGGCTTACGGAGAGGTGGATCCGGGATGCTTTTCTTGAAAGGCCGACGCTGCCCTCTTCTGGTTGGCCATCACTAGTGGCTACACTTAACATTGGCCGACATTGACCTAGGGCCGGGTTGAGCGGGGCTGTAGTTATGCCATGGACAGGTCAAGGGCACAAGCCACACCTTGCATGGGGCTCTGGTCCACCCACCCACCTTCCCAGGGACTTTCTGTTACCTCCCCTGCCTCCATCCTGCCTTCTCTTGCTGTCTCTATCAGCATCCTCCCATCCCCTAGCCCAGTCCCATGCTGCCTCTTTGAGGCCAGAGTTGTCTACACTCGCCTGTGTGCACCTGGCTCTTTCCCTTAGCCCCGGCATCTGAGCCATGCGTCCCCATTTCCACTGTCACTACTCCAAGGAATCTCTTACTAACATCCCCAGCGATCTCCAAGATTCAGTAAGTACTTGATTTTAAACACGCATTTTGAATTATTCAAAGAATGCATTGATTCGTTCACACACACATGTAGGCCATCAGCTTTCTGTCTCCAGAGATAATCACCATTATGAGTTTGAGTTTGGTGGGTATATGGTGTTTAAAAACTAGGTACAACTATGATCCATAGAAAATATATTAAATGTAAGAGATGTTTATGTGGTGGGTACTGTGTCGAAATAGCTTTAAACTCAGCAGGTGTTGAAGATCTGTCCGTCATGTCCATGCATCTAGACCTTGTCAGAGACATTCCTTGGTCCTCTTACTTTCCGGACTCTCAGTAACATTCAACACAGCGACTGTTTTTGTAGTAAGAACATTTAACGTGAGGGGCGCCTGGGTGGCTCAGTCGGTTAAGCGTCTGCCTTCGGCTCAGGTCATGATTCCAGGGTCCTGGGATCGAGCCCCACGTTGGGCTCCCTGCTCAGCGGGAGCCTGCTTCTCCCTCTGCCTCTGCCCTTCCCACTGCTTGTGCGTGCACATGCACCCTCTCTCTCTCAAACAAATAAAATCTTAAAAAGAAAAAGGAACACTTACCTTGAGATCTACCCTCTTACCACATTTTTGTGTGTACAGCACAGTCTTGTTGACTATAAACACGGTTCGGCAGATCTCTAGGACTTCCTTCATCTTGCAGGACGGGAACTTTATACCCACTGAAGAGCAGCTCCCCATTTGTGACAGATTCTTTTTAAAGACACTCAACAATAGAAAAAAAAAGAAAAAAAAAAGAAAAAGAAAAAAAAAGACACTCAACAATAACCTATGCTGCTAGTTTTAAAGACTTCAGACGTCAATCAGCGGAATGGGAGTGCTGCTCTGTACCTGCCCTCCCACCCCCGGCTCCTGGGACAGTCGACACCCTCCCTCTGTGCAGACACGAGTTGCAAGACAAGGTTTGCCATGACAAGAATATATATATATATAATTTATTTTTTTTATTAACATATAATGTATTATTTTTTTCAGAGGTACAGGTCTGTGATTCATCAGTCTTATACAATTCACAGCACTCACCGTAGTACATACCCTTCCCAGTGTCCATCACCCAACCACCCCATCCCTCCTACCCCCCACCACTCCAGCAACCCTCAGTTTGTTTCCTGAGATTAAGAGCCTCTTACGGTTTGTCTCCCTCTCTGGTTTTGTCTTTTTCATTTCCCCCCCCTTCCCCTGTGATCCTCTGTCTTGTTTCTCAAATTCCTCATATCAGTGAGATCATATAATACTTCTCTTTCTCTGATTGACTTATTTCACTTAGCATAATACCCTCTAGTTCCATCCACGTTGTTGCAAATGGCAAGATTTCATTCTTTTTGATGGCTGCATAATATCCATTGTGTATATATACCACATCTTCTTTATCCGTTCATCTGTTGATGGACATCTCGGCTCTTTCCACAGTTTGGCTATTGTGGACATTGCTGCTATAAACATCGGGGTGCAGGTGCCCCTTCGGATCCCTACATTTGTATCTTTGGGGTAAATACCCAGTAGTGCAATTGCTGGGTCGTAGAGTAGCTCTATTTTCAACTTTCTGGGGAACCTCCATACTGTTTTCCAGAGTGGCTGCAGCAGCCTGCATTCCCACCAACAGTGTAGGAGGGTTCCCCTTTCTCTGCATCCTCACCAACATCTGTCATTTCCTGACTTGTTAATTTTAGCCATTCTGACGGGTGTGAAGTGGCCTCATTGTGGTTTTGACTTGTATTTGCCTGATGCTGAGGGATGTTGAGCACTTTTCCATGTGTCTGTTGGCCATTTGGATGTCTTCTTTGCAGAAATGTCTGTTCATGTCTTCTGCCCATTTCTTGATTGGGTTATTTGTTCTTTGGGTGTTGAGTTTGATAAGTTCTTTATACAGATTTTGGATACTAGCCCTTTATCTGATGTGTCATTTGCAAACATCTTCTCCTATTCTGTCGGTTGTGCCGTGACAAGAATATATAATCTCTGTGCTGTTGCCCCTCTTCTGGACGTGTCCTTCTTCCTCCCCTCTCTGTAGGTCCTGGGTGCCTCACTTCCCTCTCTCTCAATGGGAGAGCTCCTCTGGATTCTGTCTCAGGCTCCCTTTCTCCTGTAAACTCTCCCTCCTCTTAGGGAATTTCGTCTCCTCCCACCACTGTAAATACCATCAGTATGCCGCCACCTCCCACGTTTTGATCACCAGCCCAGACCTTATATCTCCAGCAGCTGGGACGCCTGCAACCCGGTGTGTTCCAATGCACTCACCATCTTCCCCTTGGAGAAGGGCTGCTTGGCCTGCTGGGGATGGAGTCAGACAGCCCCACCAGCCAGCCACCACCAGGCTTGCTGGCCCTGCCCCCAGATCACCTCTCCCCCATCTGTTCCCTCACCCCGGACGATTGCGACCAGTCCCCCCAGAATCTTCTCGGCCCCTCCTGAGTCCGTGTTCACATGGTAGCCAGAGCGATGTGCGTTTAAACCTTGCAGTTAAAGTGCAAATCTGACTGTGCCATTTCCCTCCTTGAAACCCTTCCAATGGATTTCCTTGACTCGCAGGATGAAATATAAATCCACATCAGCCATCTTGGTCTCCCTGTTGGCTCTGCCCACCTCCCTGCAACCTTATCTTCCCCCATGGTGCTTCCTCTGCCCAGGCCACTCCAGTGTTCCCTGTTCCTTGATCAGGCTGAGCACATTCTGCCTCAGCCCCTCAGCACAGACTGCTTCCTGCTACCAGAACCATTCTTTCCTTCCCTCTGGGCCTGGACGAGGCCTCCTGTGGAGCTCAGCTTAACTTTCTGACCCTCAGAAAGGCTGTCCTTGGCTCCTCACATCCCGGCCCCCCATCCGGCTCTCTAGTATCCTGTGCTTTTTCCTCAGGGCTCTGCGTTTGTAACTCCTTCATTATTTATCACTCATTTGTTCTTACCTATTTTTCCCACTGCCTGAAAGTTCCACAGGGTCAGAAATTTGTCTACTTTACTCACCACTTGTTTTCTTTAGCACCAGGACAGAGCCTGGCATCTCAATGGATGCTCAAGAAACACCTGTCAGCTCAGCTTCGAGGTTGAAGTCTCCATCACAGTACTGTGGTTAAGAGCTCGTGTGCTGAAGTCTGACAGTCCTGGGTTAGAATCCCAGCTAGGCCACTTAGTCACACAGCAGCTGTGTGACTTTGGACAAGTCACTTCACCTCTGAGCCTCTGCTTCCTGCCTCATAAAATTATCATGAGGATTAAATAAAGATGTACATAAAATATTTAATGCTATGGCTGGCATATGGAAGTCCTTCAGTAAATAACACTAGTTACTGTGTAAGTGTGTTTCTAATCAGAGCTAAATCACAAGCCCCAGATTGCTACCGTGGCTTCCTCCTCTTACCTCATTTGGTGAAGCGGGGAGCAAAAGCGCATTTGCACATCCACTCAGACTCAGGGACTTTGGAAGCCAGCTGTGAGGGCAGCGATTCCAGCTTCGTCCCACTCTGCTGCTTACTGGCTGTGTCTCTGCAGGCAGGTGGACTTCTCTAAACTCAGTGTGGTCCTGTGTAAAGTATGGCCAATGCATACCTCACAGGACAGTTCAGGCATCACGTGAGATAATGCACGTAAGTACCCCGTGCTGAGAAGTTGCTACATTAAAATTAGAGTCTTATTAGAAACTCAGGCTGGCTAAAGATGGCCCTGTGTCTCTCACGGTATTTCAGAACTGGCTTCCTCTTGACTTCCTGCCCTCCATCATCGTCAGACTTGAGTTTGCAAGCTGGGTCTGCCTCCTCCCCGCTGCGTCGCCTCGCTGAGTACCAGTTTCCTTCTCTCTAGAGCGGAGCCCGTACCCCTCTGGCGGGGTTACTGTAAGGAGTAGATAAAGTAGTGAATCCAAAGCAAGGGTTCGCAGATGATGGATGGTCACCAGATCCAGGCCACTGCCTGATTCTGTCAAGTTCTTTTTTTTTTTTTTTTATTTGAGAGAGAGAGAGTGAGGGAGAGCATGAGAGGAGAGAGGGTCAGAGCGAGAAGCAGACTCCCCGCTGAGCAGGGAGCCTGATGCGGGACTCGATCCCAGGACCCCGGGATCATGACCTGAGCCGAAGGCAGTCGCTTAACCAACTGAGCCACCCAGGTGCCCTGATTCTGTCAAGTTCTATCGGATCACAGCCACGCTCGTTCACTCATGCACCCTGTCTGGCTGCCTTAGTGTTGAATAGGTGTCACGGAACCTATATGGCCGGGGTGTCTGGGTGGCTCAGTCCGTTGTGTCTGGCTCTTGGTTTTGGCTCAGGTCATGATCTCACGGTTGTGAGATCAAGCTCCATACTGGGCTCTCTGCCTGGCATGGAGTCTGCTTTGGATTCTCTCTTCCTGTCCCTCCCCCTCTGCCCCTCTGCCCCTCTCCCTGCTTGTGGCTTGCACATAAACTCAGAGGTGCTCTCTCTCTCCCTCTCTCTAAAAATAAATAAATAAAATCTTAAAAAAAAATAAAAGAACCTATATAGCCCACCAAGCCTAAATATACTATTTGCTCTCTGGCCCTTTATAGAAGAAGTTTACGGACATCTCATTCAGTGCCTGCTTGTGGTAGGTGCTCAGGGACAATGGTTGCTCTCATCATCATCCTTGTCTGTACCATTAATGCAGCAATCGGGTGGGACGGTGTTCTGTAAAAGTGAGGAAGAGAAGGCCCTCCCGGGGGGACGGGAGGGGCTGGCCAGAGTCACCCAGCACAGCGCCACGCACACAGCAGGCCTTGGGATGTGGGATGACCTGTGTCAAAAAGACTCTTGGTCTGGTGAACTTTCCAGTACATCAAGGAATACTCTTTTTTTTTTTTTTTTTTAAGATTTTATTTATTTATTTGAGAAAGAGAGAGCGAGCATGCACAGGTGGGGGGAGGGGCAGACAGAGAGGGAGAAGCAGACCCCCCTGCTGTGCAGGGACCCTGAGATCATGACTTGAGCCGAAGGCAGATTCTTAACCAACTGAGCCACCCAGGTGTCCCCATCAGGGAATAGTCTTTATTTATTTTTCTAAAGATTTATTTATTTATTTATTTGACAGAGAGAGACACAGCGAGAGAGGGAACACAAGCAGGGGGAGTGGGGGAGGGAGAAGCAGGCTTCCTGTGGAGCAGGGAGCCCGACGCGGGGCTCCATTCCAGGACCCTGGGATCATGACCTGAGCCAAAGGCAGATGCTTAATGACTGAGCCACCCAGGCACCCCAGGAATATTCTTTAAACATTAAATCTGCCAGGAAAATGTATCAGGTGCCTATCGTTAGGGCTATCATGACTCCATGTAATGTCTTTGAGTGAATTAGAAAATGTACCCTATCCTTGAGGCACTTATTATAATGAATATACTGATTTTGTGAGACTGAGATGCTTTACTGCCAGGAAGTTGTAACAAATATATAAATCTACCATGGATTCTCTGTGAATGGGACCTCCCTCCCCTCAATTGTACAGTGCGCCACCTGCACGGCTGTCTATGGCAGCCTTGTCTGTCAAAGAATGGTGAACCGGCATGAGTCCTGATTTTCACATATCTGTTGTGTACAAATGAGGCCCACTTCTTAGGGACCTCCCCCTGCATACCTATGACTCTGCCCCTCATTTGTGCTTCCTCGACTTCTGTGGGCCTGGTAGGCCCTGAGCCTCCTCACCATCACCTTTGGGACCCCACAGGCAGAGATGGAGTTGGTCCAGCGTATTGGCGTCCCTGCCAGTAAGATCGTCTGCGCCAACCCCTGTAAGCAAATCGCACAGATCAAGTACGCTGCCAAGCATGGGGTCCAGCTGCTGAGCTTTGACAACGAGGCGGAGCTGGCTAAGGTGGTAAAGAGCCACCCCAGTGCCAAGTAAGCAGAGAGCCACTCGTGGGAAGGGCTGGGCTCAGTGTGAGGGCAGAGGGGGAGGGAGGAGTGGTGCTGGAGCAGAGGAGCCTACCCTGGACCCGGCCACGGTCCCAGGAGTCTGGGGCGGGTGCTCCTGGACCGGACCCAGCGAGCCGGGGCCTGATGAGGGCCAAGGCAGAGATAACCATGGCAGCCCAGGCAGAACAAAGCTGGTGGTATTCTGGGGGTGAAAGTCACAGGCTGAAGGAGCAAGAGGAGGGTGGTCAGGAAAGCTGCATGGAGGAGGTGGCCTTCGAGGTGGGCCTGAGGAGGGAGTAGAATTAGCGGAGCGCATCAAAGCACAGAATGCGAGGGGGTTGGAAGCGGCCGGGGGCGTGTGAGGGATGAGCAGAAATTTGGTGTGGCCGGAACAGACCTGTGCGAGGGGTGAGGGCAATCATGATCGCTGGTGGGTCACGGTCCCACGTCAGGGACCTGATGCACATGGGCTTTCGCGGGGCTCAGGGCTGGACATTTTGCTCTGGCTGAGGCTTTCACGCAGTCGCCTGATGCTGTGGAGGGCTCCAGGGAGGCCTCCTCGGGGTGATGGGGAGGCTGGGGCGGGGGCCACTCTGGTTCACCCAAAGCAGCTTCCATTTTGTCAGTTTTATGTGATTTGGGGGTTCTCGGTATGACTGTATTTAAAAAAAATGGTTCCCCTCATACAAGAAAATTTGGAAAAGCCTGACCGGTGTAGAGGCTGATTCGGAGGAAGTGGAGCTGCCGGGGAGAGCTGGTGAGGTCGGGACCAGGGCAGGGGCCGTGGGGATGGGCCCAGGGGCGTTTAAAGAGGGGATTGGACGGGCCTCGGAGGCTGACTAGCAGTGCAGGGACAGGAAGGGGTGAGGGCCCGGTGGGGTGGGCGGCTCTGAGTTTATACCCCTGTTCTCCGAGAGGACATGGTTGGGGTTGGGGGGGTGGGGTCCACGCGGCAGAGGTGCGCTGTGTGTCTCCTCAGGATGGTTCTGTGCATTGCCACTGATGAATCTCACTCCCTGAGCCCCCTGAGCTTCAAGTTTGGAGCGTCGCTGAAATCCTGCAGACACCTGCTTGAAAATGCCAAGAGGAGCCACATGGAGGTGGTGGGGGTGAGGTGAGTGCCCGGAAGCCACACCATCCCTGTCAGGCCCACTGCCTCTTTCCCAGGAGTGAATCAATTCTCTATGAGACCTCCCTCAGGGCCTCCAAGGAAGGCCTGTCCCTGGGCCTAGAATCCTGCCATTGGAGAGTTTCCTCTCTTTGGAAAGAAAGTTTGGAGTGTCCCATTGCCTCAACCCCATGGTTCCCCAGAAGATCTTGTCCCAGGAGGCCCCAGGAGGTACCTGGCTTTGCAGGAGTTATACCAACTTATTATAGGCCAAAGGTTGTGTAGCCACGTCTTTGCTCACAGGGATAGGGACGAAGTCATGATAATGACCTAATAGTATAGCTTTCATTTATTCTGTGCTTAGGATATGCCAGGCACTGTGCTAAATGCTTCAGGAACATTATCCCACAGCCTTGTGGGATCTTATCCCCACTTTATAGATGGGGAAATGAAAGCACAGCGCTGACTGAGAGGAATATACGGACCTGGCTGACTTGGGCCCTGCTCCTCATCCCAGAGGGCTTAGCCCCAGTGGCAGCATGATGGGATGGGAGGGACACCAAGTGCTAAGGGACCTTGGATCTAGTCTCTTGTCCACTCCTCACTTGCCCCATGACCCTTAGCAATGCATTTACCCTCCGGGGCCCTCAGTCACTATATCTGCAGAATGGGCATGATGCCCATTGTGCCTGTCCAAGGCTGCTCCTGGCGGGGGCTGAGGCGGTGGCACCTGGGGCCCTGCATGTTAGCCGAGGGTCTTCCTCCCTTCCCAGTTTTCACATTGGCAGTGGCTGTCCTGACCTTCACGCCTACACTCAGTCCATCGCAGACGCCCGGCTTGTGTTTGAAATGGGCGCTGAGCTGGGCCATGGGATGCACATCCTGGATCTTGGCGGTGGCTTCCCTGGATTGGAGGGGGCCAAAGTGAGATTCGAAGAGGTAACCCTGGGGTCAGAAGTGTGGTACTGGGCTCTGCGGGAGGTGGGGTCGGCATACCCGCCACTGTGGAGTGGGTCCCAGGCACTGCATGCTGTGCTTGCTGCTTTACCCGGATCATCTTATTATTAGCCCCATGTTACAGCTGAGCAAACTGAGGCTCCTCGAGGTTATGTCACTTTCTGAGTCTACAGCAGAGCTGGACACACATCCAACACTCTCTGACTCTAGTCCATGCATGTATTTGAAGTTTAACCAGGCCTATTTGTATAAGTCCTGAAACTCTCTGAGGGCCTGGCATGCTCTGTTCTCCCTCAGGTGAGCTGATGAGAAATCAAACGGGAGGGCAGGGAAAGGAAAAGCCCACCTTCTGTCTGCTTCTTTCCATCTGAGATGAAATCAAGAAAAATGTGCCCCCGCAATTCCCATTCCAACCACTAGGGGTCGCCTCTCCCTAATAAGAGCCAGGTCCCGGGACATCCATATCTCAGGACTGACCCTAAGAAAATAATCCCCCACAGAAGCAAAGAGTTAGCCTCAAAGATGAGCATTGTAGCAGTGTTCATAACAAAAACCCAGTGGACTTTCCTGGTCCATCTAACACTCGGGAAGTGGTTAAATTATGGTACATTCGTATGACTCCCATGTGATATCATTCAGATTCTGTTGAGTAGAACAGATTATAAAGCATATGCATAGCCTTATGTTTATAATAAAAAACAGTGTTTGTATAGAAAAAGAATTAAAGGAACTACTCCAAAAAGTTAACAGTGATTAACAATCTGGATGATAGAATTGCGGGTGATTTTGATTTTCATTCTTCTCTGTATTTTCTGTGAAAAATGTGTCATTTAACACTTTGGCCATTTATGAAAGATCTACATCAGGGCTTCTGGAACCTGAGTACCAAGTATTACGTTAAGAACACCTCTTCCCGTCGTGGGGGCGTTGAGGAAGGTGATTTACACAAGCATAAGGGTCTTGACCCAGCTCCGTCTGCCTCCTACGTCAGGAAGCCTGACTGGCTGTCTCCAGTCCCCAGTCTGGGGCCTTAGTAGCTGCCAAGTGCTTCTTTCTGAAATCGAAGAAGCTTTCAAGAAATAGACTTGCAGGGCGCCTGGGTGGCTCAGTTGGTTAAGCGACTGCCTTCAGCTCAGGTCATGATCCTGGAGTCCCGGGATCGAGTCCCGCATCGGGCTCCCTGCTCAGCAGGGAGTCTGCTTCTCCCTCTGACCCTCCCCGCTCTCATGTGCTCTCTCTCTCTCTCTCATTCTCACTCTCTCAAATAAATAAATAAAATCTTTAAAAAAAAAAAAAAGAAATAGACTTGCAGCTATAGCAAGTCCTCAGTATGTAAACCCCCCATTTCACACATGCATTGTCCCCCATCCCTGTCCCACCAGATTGCTTCTGTGATCAACTCAGCCTTGGACCTGTACTTCCCGGAGGGCTGTGGCGTGGACATCCTTGCCAGGCTGGGGCGTTACTATGTGACTTCGGCCTTCACCTTGGCAGTCAGCATCATTGCCAAGAAGGAGGTTCTTCTGGACCAGCCTGGAAGGGAGGGTAGGTGCCAGGTGGGCAGCAGAGCCCCGTTTTTTCCCAAAGCTAGGGACAGTGGCTGGCTGAGCAAGGTCTGGTTTTAGGGGATGGGAATCTGGAGGATGGATCCTTTCTTTAGGGAAACTTACAACCAAGTCCCCTTACCCCCAAGACACTTACCTAGTGTTAGTTTTTCCTATGCATGTTTACATTTTATGAAGATTGAGATCAAAACAACCTTAGGGAGAACAGATATTTTATTAACCCATTGTACAGATGAGAAAATTGAGAGCCAAAGAGAATACAAGTGAATTGCTTAATAGTAAAAAGTAAAGCCTGCATTCGACCCCATGCCTGTCTCCTCTCCAAAGTATAGGCTCTTACTCATCCTACTGCTGCTCATAACATAATGAAAATAATTAATGACAACTTATATTTGTCTAAGCCTACTTGATAGATGACAGAACATAGGCCTGGAGAGGTTGAGTCACTAGCCCAGAGTCACATAGCTGGTGAGGGGCAATGCCTGGATTCAAGTTCAGGCCGGGCTGACTCAGGGTTCTCTGCCCACATTGCCACATCAGCGCTCATCCCTGCCCTTCCAGAGAGATCAGTCCTTCCAGCAGCCCCTTGAGTGAGTGGGGTCAGGGGCTCTGATCTTGGAGCCTTCTGTTCCAGGGTCCCAGGCAGGAGAGCTGAGGTGTGTCTTCCCCTGAGAATCCATTTGGAGGGGTGGTGGGCTCCAGGTAGAATGTCTTATGTGTGTGTGTGTGTGTGTGTGTGTGTAGAGATGACATTCTTCTGGCTTCCTTTATAAATCAAAAATTACTGTATTAGTCCAGCCGGGGGGCCTGGTTTCTCATTTCAGCTCATGCATTGCCCCGTGAGGGGGCTGTGAAGGGGGTTTACATACTGAGGACTTGCTATAGCTGCAAGTCTGAGGGAGTGGCTTAACCTCTTGGGGTATCGAGTTTGGGTGGGCTGCTCTTCGGCCTTTGCTGGGGCATCCAGGGGCTCAGATGCAGGCAGGAAGTATGTCCTGTGCAGGGGTGCTCCGCTGCAGGGGTGAGTGTGCACCACGTGAACCTCATGTCATAGGAGGCAGCAGGACCCACCCCATAGCTGAGGAAGGGGCAGCCTTTTTGTGTCAGTTACCCATCATCCTTGCTGAGCCTCCCATTGTGCCAGCGCCCCACCCCCAGCCCCTCACACTGCTGTTTGTGCTGCCCCTTGACCCCTCCCCTCCCCACAGAGGAAAATGGCTCCACCCCCAAGACCATCGTGTACCACCTCGGTGAGGGCGTGTACGGAATCTTCAACTCAGTCCTGTTTGACAACATGTGCCCTACCCCCATCCTGCAGAAGGTGAGCCTACCCCACGTGGGCCTCTTTTCAATTGGGTGTGTGTGTTTAAATAACATTCTGGGGGGTGTTTTTATCTCATTTTAAAAAAGTAAAACATATTCATTGTAGAAAATGGCGGGATGATGAAGATCACCCATAATCCCACCAGGTAGAGATAGACTCTTTGAACATTAGATTTCTTTTTAGTCTTTAAAAAAATGTATTCTATTTTTAAAAATAAAGTTGGATTGTATTGTTTTGTAACTGCTTTTTTCCACTCAATATGGGGTATAGCTCTTTCCATGCCGTTAGCTAACCTTTGACAACATGCTTTTTGAAGACTACATACTATTTTAACCCATCTAACCTAGTAGTTGGTTTGCTATTTTCGAGCATTGTGAATATATCTATCTTGACGTCCATGTCTGATCAAGCCCTGGAGTGAATTTCTAGAAGCAAAAAGAAACAGTTCATCTTTAATGGGTTTTTCCAGGGTGACAAGGGAACAGGAATGGACAAAGAGGGGAAAGAAAATCAGACACACCATTGTAGTTTCGTATCTGCAGGCCTTTGTTGTGTGGCCTTTTCTGGAAGGGAACTGCAGTGCCTAACGGGCACCCAGATCATCATGAGTGCTCAGTGTGTTTTTGTTGTTCTCTCTTTTTCCATCCCATCTAGTTTTTTAAGACCCACTCAAATGTCAGCTCCTCTTTGTAGCTCTTCTTGCCCCTTATCTATCACAGGCAGAAGGGGGACCCCCCCCACCTCCAGCTGCCCATGCCATGACTTGATTATGTCCTCGTTCCATAGCTGGGTTGTTCAATGTGGTTTCCTCCAGCCAGTCTGAGTAAGCCTCCCTGATGCGCTCAGAAATTCAGTTTTCCGCTGTGATGCACCGGTCCTGCCTGCATTCTTGTGGTTTCCCACATCCTACCGCACTGAGAAAGGACCAGGTTGGCCTAGGCCAGCCGCGCCCCAGGTCACACAGCAGGCGGCAGCTGCTTCCCAGGTCCTGTCCCCCTCCAGACCCCCTCCACCTTCCAGTGCCCCTCTTCCTGTCACATGCTGTCCATGACCCACTCCGCATTCCCTTCATCAGCAACTCAGATGAGCAGGACTGTGGGCCCAGCTTATTACCACACCCCCCATCCAGGCTCTCCATTTTGATTAATCTCCAGTTGGTATTCCTGCCTTGGACACCAGGATGTTACTGACCCTCTTTGTGATCAGTCCTGTTCCTCCTCCGGACGCTGTTGAAGTTTCATACTTTGGGCTGTTAACCACTTACCAGGTCCAGCCATGTGACCAGATCCAGGGTGGGGCCCCTGTCTGGTGGTGGAGGCAGTTGACGACACACACAGTAAATTAGCTGCAGTTGTGCTGGGTGTGTGTTAGAGGGACCCAGCCTGGCTGGGGGTATCTGCATCTTCTTCCCCAAGGAAGGTCCCCTTCACGAGTCATGGTGGCAGCTTTGCATCCCTGCTCTTCATTCCCTAGGACTTTGTGTTTGGACCTCAGGCACAGAAAGTCCTATTAAACATAATCAATCCTTGGTTCAAAGTATACTTCTTATCGCTGGAGCCTTCCTGGCTCTTTTTTGTTTTCTTTCTTTTTAAAAATTTAATAAACATTTGAGTACTCTCAGTATGCAAAGCCCTATATTGAGGCCTGCACAGGACGGTAGGTGAGACAGAATTGTCTACGGTCTGGAAATGCAGTCCTGCTGGGTGGGGGTGTGTGCGCGTGCGTGCGGTGAGCAGTGCGCAGGCTACAACAGTGTCATGAAAAAAGCACAGAAAACTACAGAACAAGTGTTATTGGAATTTTTTCAAAAATATTTTAATATACTTGAAAGGACTTGAGAAAAATCATAATACCATTGTCAAATTAAAAGTGAACAATTCCATAGTATCCCCTGTCATCCTCCTCATAAATGGTTTTTCTAGTTGACTTGCTGAAATCAGCAGCCAAAAAAGGTCCACATACTGCATTTGGTCGATTGTCTCTCTCTTAACCTATTGGTTTCCCCAAACTCACTTTTTTTTTAAAAAATTATTTGTTGATGAAACCGAGTTGTTGGTCCTAAAGTTTCCTGCATTCTGGATATTCCTGATTGGTGGATTCCCTGGATTTCCCTTCGGTGTTATCAAATATATTATTCCATGCCCTGTATTTCTTTGAAACTAGATAGTTAGATTTCATGGTTTCAGTAGATTCCTAATCAGTTTTGGGGTAAAAAAGTTTCATGGGAGGACTTGTCTTTGTTTTGTTTTTTTTTTTAGTGAAATAAGCATTCTTTTCATTTTACCACCTCATTCCTTTGTCTCTTCCCGTGCAAAGTACCCACGATTTAGACTTATCTGTTACCATTTTTTTTCATATAGGTTTTTTCTTTTTTTTAAATATAGTTTTTTTTTTTTCCTATTGCGGTAAGAACACTTAACATTAAGATCTACTCTTGTAACAGATGGTTAAGTGTATGATCCTGTACTATTAGCTACAGGCTGTGGTATAGCAGATCTCTAGAACTTGTTCATCTTGTAGAGCTGAAACTTTATGTCCTTTGATTATCAACTTCCCATTTCCCCCTCCCATCAACCCCTGGCACCCATACTTCTATTCTTTGTTCCATGAGTTGGACTATTAGATACCTCATATAAATGCAAGCATGCATTGTGTGTCCTTCTGTGACTAGCTCATTTCAGTTCGCATAATGTCCTCAGTGTTCATTCATGCTGCTGCATGTTGCAGGATTTCCTTCTTTGATAAGGCTGATCATGTTCCATTATATGGATATACTGCATTTTTTAAATCCATTCATCCATCCATGGACATTTAGGTCTTGGCAGCTGTTAATAGTATTGCAACAAACACGGGAGTGCTTATCGCTCTTAGAGATCTTGATTTCAGTTCTTTTGGGGGAATACCCAGAAGTAGGATTGCTGGATCACACTGAATTTTTTGAGGAAGCACCATCCTGTTTTCCACGGCGTCTGCATCATGCTGCATTCCCTCCGGCAGCATACCGGGGTTCCAATTTCTCCACGACCCTGTCAACACTGGCCGTCTTTTGTTTTTTTTTTGCTAACAGCCATCCTAACAGGTGTGAGGTGACATTTCACTGTGGTTTTGACTTGTATTTCTTTTATGATTAATGATGTTGAGCCTCTTTTCCTGTGCCTGTTTGCCATTCGTATGGCTTCTTTCACGTAGTTTTGTCACATCAAAGTTTATTCCTCAGTGTATTTATAATTTGTTTTTGTTTTTTTGTTTTTTTTTTTTTTTTACTTTACAAAAAGCTGTTCTAATGATGTAAACTTTTTGGACTTTTTTTAAATTTCTAAAAAAAGATATTTATTTATTTATTTTAAAGATTTTATTCATTTATTTGACAGAGAGAGACACAGTGAGACAGGGAACACAAGCAGAGCGAGTGGGAGCGGGCGAAGCAAGCTTTCTGCTGAGCAGGGAGCCCGATGATGTGGGGCTTGGTCCCAGGACCCTGGGTAGACGCTTAACGACTGAGCTACCCAGGCGCCCCTATTTATTTATTTATTTGATAGAGAGACAGCAAGAGAGGGAACACAAGCAGGGGGAGTGGGAGAGGGAGAAGCAGGCTCCCCGCTGAGCAAGACTTGATCCCAGGACCCTGGGATCATGACCTGAGCCGAAGGCAGACGCTTAATGACTGAGCCACCCAGGCGCCCCCCTTTTTGGACTTCTTAAAAAGCGTGCTGTCACAGTCTAAGATGCACCACCGCTGATGTGTGTACCTGAGGCCCGTCCTTGGGCTGCTGTTTCACCCTGTTGGTGAGCATGCTGCGGCCGGTTGTCCACTCTCCTCTCCAGGTGCTGGGCTGTTTCTAGGTCTTCACTACTGTGAGATCTGCCGCTCTGAATATTCTCGTTTGTGACTCTGTGGAGTCGCTGGGCATAGATAGGGCACATGATTGTTCCGCCTCATGAGACAGTGCCAGACAGTTTTCCAAAGTGGTTGTACCACTTGGCGTTCCCCCGGGAGAGGCTGGGTGGATCCACGTTTTCCCCAATGCTTGGCATTGTCAGACTTTAAACATTCTCCCGATTGAATGGATGTGAGATGGTTTCTCCTGTCTTGATGTGCATGTCCCTGATTACTAATGAAGTCGGATATCTCTTTGTACATTTATTGGACATACATATTTTCTCTTCTGTCAAAGACTTTGTAACCTTCCCTTCAGTTACTGCCCTTCGTGTCCAAACCTCTCCAGCCAGCGGCCTGCGCTCGCTGCCCTTGCTCCCTCAGCTCTCATTCCCTCTTCAAACCTTTCCAGTGGGATTTCGATCACACAACCATACAGAAGATGCTCTTGAAAGTTCCTTGCATGTGGCCAGCCCAGAGGTGGCACTTCTGTCTTCAGCAACTGATCTTCCTCCACCTTCATGCTCTTGGCTTTGCCCTCTCCTCTGTCATTCTTCCCTTGCCTCTCTGGCACGTTCCCTGTGGCTTCACCCCCTGAATGTTGACTCTCAGGCCTCTGTTCGTGATCCTCTTCTCTGCCTGCACGCATTTCCTAGGTGAGCTCTTCCAGGCTGAGGCTTTCAATATCTCCTACAGTCTCATCATTTTCAAATCTATTTCTCTGGTCTGGACCATTCCCCTGAGCTCCAGACTCGTGTATCCACCTACCCACTTGCCATTTCTACTGGATGTCTCACAGGCATTCAAATTTAACTTGTTCAGAAATGAACTCTTGATTTCCAACCCAAACTTCTTCCTCCCCACAGTTTTCTCTCAGCAAACAGTACAGCCAGTCAGCCAGCTGTTCAAGCTGTAACACTTTGGCATTATTCTCGATTCTTGCTTTCTTCTCTTCCCACACGCAGTTCACCTGCAATTTTTCAGTCTAATTCCAAAATACACATGGAATCTATCTAATTTCTTCCCTGCCACCATGGCAGGGTGCAAGATGCCATCACCCCTTCCTGGGCTAGTGTGGCAATCACTAACTGGTCTTCTCGCCCCGACTCCTGCCTTCCTA